CACAATCGCTAGTTGATCGCACCTCTTATCTGAAGCTCTGCCGACAGTTCTGAAAGTGTCAACCTTGATGTCCTATAGCTGTATTGTTTCTTCTCGCAAAAGCTACTTCAGCTTACTGAGCGGCAAATCTATTTCTATATGAAGTGTTTTTTTTCGTTTGATATGATAAAGGGACTGAAAGTAGAAATTTTCCCAGACGATAGATATAGAATTTATGTTTCCATTGTATTTCAAATAGCCTTGCCTGCCTAAAAAATATTCCCATTTGAGCAGATGTGGACCACAATATCGACCTCGCCTAGGCTTTACACTCAACCCCAACTGGACTCGAACCATGACACGTTAACTACTAAGCCACATTGCCACGAGTTCCCTTGGGTCAAGGGGGAGATGTGAATTTTTGGGAAGACCAGGCATTATACCATATCACATTTTATGGTAGGATTTCCCATAATGCAAAGGTGTATTTGCTATAGCAATAAACGAAAAATAAATAATATAGCAGATTTATATGGAAAATGCAACTTTGCTACGTCGAAAATCCCCTAATAGAATGTGATATGGGAAAATGTATGGTATTTCTGTAAATTTATATCTGTCCTCTGACCCAGGGGCCCTTGTGGGAATGTGGCGTAGTTGCTAACGTAACGGGATTATATGCTGCACTGTCATGTTTTGACTACCACTGGATGTGTTGATAAGATCTAGGCATGGTTGAAAATTAATCCATTTTTACTGGGTTGTGAATAGTTTTTAAGAAAACAAAGCTATATTAAATTTAATGGAAACGTAAGCTCAATTCATATCAATTTGTAAAACATTCAACTTCCAGTATTGTTATCGCCTTAAACAAAATAGCGTGAATACACTTTATATATAAATGATCAACCTATAATCTTCAAGACCTACTTGTAAATAAGAAATAAGCTTATTTATGTTATTATATTAAATTTGTGAATGATTGTTTTCTGCCATCATGTAATATGTATGCGTCATTTATAAATCACACTAAATAAAGTCAAATCTATTTAATAGGGTGACTTTGCCACTATGGAATCCATCTATCGTGCTGCTGAAACCTGGTTAACAAGAAAATTGCCATCAATACACTTCCCCACATGAACTATTAATCAAAATAATTCGGGAAATCACTGCAAGATTTTTAAAATAGTAAAAGCATTAAGGTTAATATTAGGTGCCAAATAATAGGAAAAGCTTTTATCAGGGTAGTAGATCATCGATATTAAAATGCACTGAATTTACCAACTTCCATTTTAACATCAAAATCGCGCCAATTTTCCGATAAAAGGAACCTTCTAGTCTTATTATTCCATCAGCAATCATCACAAAATTTGGCTAGACAATCATTATATCAAAATAAATGGGAATTGGTTTATGTTTCCACATTCAATCTACAGTGCAAATGAGTTAAAATTTTAAAAAATAAATTCCGATCTGAGTGAGATCAACTCTATGAAATTGTGTTGCTTGAGTGTACATAATGCAAACTTTTAGATACACATTGGAAGTTTCAATTACACTCCTTTAGTTTAGATCTTGTACAGATACCCAATGTGTTACAGTACATGCTTATTTAAATGGGCACTGATAAATTATGCTAGTATAATAATACTCATATCAGATGATCATTAATAGCTGAAATTTCCTCCTAATAATCATTTTTATTCAATATTCTGACTAGATTATATTTGTATGAATCTGAGCTAAGCGCACTGATTACACTATAAAGTAGTTCAGAGGTTCTGGAATGATATTGTTATTTGTAAAAGCTAGGAAATTTAAAATTCACTAGCACTTTAAAGCAAATAAGCCCAATAATTATAATAGTAAAACTGAAACCGCCTTAAACCTTAACAAAACTAAACTGTAATGGAAAAATATTTTACGTCCCTGTTCTAAGAAAGACTTTGTACTTTTCACAGTCAAGTCTTCGCAGTCATAACTGAAGGCAAAGCCAAGGAAAGTTGCGTAGTTGCTATAAAGCATTCGAATTTCAATGAACCAAAAACGATGAGAAAAGTAAACAATTTGGATAAAAAATATTTTTTTGCTGTTGCCCTTATATCTTAACGATAAAATCATCTATTTCATTACTTTATAGTTAGATACAGCAGCTTTCTTCACTTTAATTGTAATTCTTGAGATTAATTTTATCAAAAGGTCATAAAACCCTTGCTTAGTTGAGTAACATATCGAATTACCAGGCATATTTTTTGAATGATCATTCATTATAATCTTCAGCAATAATGATCAACACTTTAAGATTTATAATGGTGACACTTTACACCACAAGTCTCTTGATTTTATTTAGAAGCATTTAGCCATATTTTTAAAATATTATTTGATTATGAGGAGCAGGTATTCTATTTGACGGTATGATAATTTGGGCATAAGAAAGATGTTTAAACATATGTTTATAATGATTCTCCGTAACAAGGAATGTTAGTGCAAATAACATTGTGGCTTACTCTCATAATGAAGATATAAGTTTTTTGCAGGAAGGTTGACCTTCTACCTACCTTATCATGGTTGACAATGCCTCCAATTTCTTCCTGCATAGCATCGGGTGTAATTGGTATTGTTGCAACATCCTTCATAGTATCTACCACTTTATCACTTGCTGTCAGCATTGATCCGCCTCGCACCACTTGACCAGGGACAGGAGACTGATTGCTTATATGCAGGCTAGAAGCAGTAGTAATGGTGTTCTTCTCTACTCGCCTCTTTATTGTTGATAGCCTTCCGAATCTAGAGAGACCACCACGTTCAATCATCGAAGCGGAAGAAGTGAGTCTGAGTGAATTGAGAGTGTTGATTGGAAATAAGCTCGTAAGCTGACATAAGGATAACAAATTCAAATAACGGCTAGCAACAAATATTTACAGCAAAATAACTTCACCATCTCAGATGTAATTTAAATGGACAAACTAGTTTGCATTTATACTTTCTTTTGGTTGGACCACTATGGACAAATACATTTTTTGACGGGATTCAAGTGGATAAAGTTTAGTTATAATATATCAATGAATATGTATTTTAATGCGCTTTGCCTAGTTTTTTATATTAAAATATTAGCTTTGTTTATATAAGAGACTATCCAAAAAACAAAGTCGAAAATAAGTTATGCAATTATAACACGTTTATAACTAGGCTTGCGACCATAACAGAGGCCACAACATCTTGGTCTTCATGTATTCTATAGAACTTTATAATTGCCTGTAAATTGCAATTTGTTAGTACTAATTATAGATATGTTAGTGATTTCCTCCGCAATCGGTGATAATTAGACTTATAGGCACTTACATATTGGAATTAAAGTGACTTTACTTATAATAGCGTTATCTCTAATTACTTCGTTAGGATAAATCGCGTCGATTTTACGCTGTATTTAACCTCTCACGTGTACAATCAGCTCATTTTTGAGGTTTGCTAATCACTCTTTTGGTAGGCGTTATGGCATGCCTATAAGAAGGCAGAATAAGTAATATATGTAATTTGCTTCATCGCTTTCACCCAATGTACATTTATTCGAGTAGCTTATAAATTGAAGGTCAAAATACTTAAATGTATAACTAAATATAGGCATAACTATTGAATAAAATACATGCTACAAAAATGTTATATATATTTTTATGTATATAAGTATATGGGTGTAAAAACAACTTTACTATTGTGAATATGCATATGCGGAGCATCACTCGAATACTATTAACATTTTAGAGCCAGGTGGCTTGTTATGGTCAATCTACTGTTCATGGAAATTTCTTTAACCCCGGTATAATTAGATGAAGTGGAGATGAGAAAACCTAGATTTTGAAAGTATGGTTAGCTGAGAAAACCGTGTAATTGGGAATAGACTTGCATGAAATTGTAAATATATTTGGGGTGGTATGATAAATTGAGATAGATCTAATGTGGGGCACTGGCTAAAGGGTGCGACAGGTGAAGTAAATATTTGATATCGAGAACTAATGAGTATACTAAGAAAAATAGCTTCGTTAACTCACCATAACTATGTTTTGCCGTTCTAATTTCATAGCTGGCTATTTTATCTGTGTGAATGACTAATAAAAATAACTACTGATATTATATTTACCTTTATATGCGTTCATATATAGAAATTGCGCCCTTGTCCCCCATTGTCCATATCTCATATAAGTTTTATGAGATGCATTTACCGTATTTATTTTGAGCTAGTTAAG